GGCGGGGGGGTCCCAACTGACTGCCTTTGTCTCAAGCCAAGGCTTGAGAACTGGGAGGTGGGGTGTAGGGATGTAGTGAGAGGATGGGGGTGAATAACCTCGCCTAGGAGAGGACAGTTGCCACCTCTGCCTGCCTCCCACCGTGCTGGCGTTAGATGCTGTTTATTGTGGGATCCCTAATTGTGTTGAGTCAGCGGAAAGTCCTCTCCAAAGTTGCCAGAGGTGTTGGACCAACCTCCTGAATAATAAGATCCTGCTCCAGTGGAGCTATGTCAGTACTATTCAGCCTCCCTCACCCAGCCCTCCCTCTGCATACCCCCCTGGTGTCTCCTCTCCTCTCTGGGTTTTCATCATCAAAATCACTTTCACTTCGCAGAACAACCCTATGGAGGCATGTATTAGTATCTCCATTTTACAGATTAATAAATGGAGGATTAAAGTTGAAAGGGGGCTGTGTAAATTCACATAAAAAAAGATAAATCCTCCACTTTACCTTCTGAAGCTTTCCAAACTTCTTTTTTGTTATCACACACACACACACACACACACACACACACACACACACACACACACACACATTGTTCCAGGATTCTGGAAGGAGCTCACACCTTCAGGATTATAAAAGGTAGCTTGTTGATGGATGAATTTTCCATTTGCTTATTTTTCTGAGAATGAGTCAAATGAACATCAGCAAAACAGGCAAACGGAGAAACCGCCCACCTTTTCATGATGCCCCTAACTCTGGCCATTGCAACCCAGACTGGCACCTTTGTATTTCCTTAGAGTTGGCATTGTTGGTCACATTCACACCCATTGTACCATACAATCCTTACAATAACCCTATGAGGTGGACATGACAGGGACTGTTAATTAGTCCCATGTTACAGTCATAAATACTGAAGCCCAGAAATTGAAAAACAGCCCTGAGAGGTGTACAAACAAACACTGAATGGTCTTTTGGCAAAAGATTCCTGAATTAAATGGGAGCTTAGCCTTGGTGACCTTGCAACTTCCTCCCAAGTCTGATAGTTAAGTAATCAGAGATTCTACAATGTTTTCCTCACTTTTTTTTTCACCTCTGAGCTTTCACTCAGAACTGAGCCTCATGAATGAACTTCTCTTGATAATCAGTCCATTCAAAGTGTCATGACTCTCACAAATATTTAAGATCTGGCACTAGGCAGACTGCCTCTAGGAAGCTTTCCCACAATACTCCAGGATACTGGTTTAACCATCTTTCATCTAACTCCCGTAGTACTACCATTTAGCCTTCTTAACTGAAAATGATCTTTTATTTACTAGTTATTGTAGGCTGAATTTTATCCCCTAAATATTTGTATGTTGAAGTCCAAACCACCAATGCCTCAGAATTTGACTGTATTTGCAATGAAATATTACTTGGCCATAAAAAAGAATAAAATCTTACCATTTGCAACAGCATAGATGGACCTGGAAGGTATACTCTAAGTGAAATAAGTCAGACAGAGAAAGACAAATGCCATGTGATTTCACTTATATCTGGACTCTAAAGAGCAAAACAAACAAACAAACAAAATAGAAGCAGACTCATAGATACAGAGAACAGATTGATGATTGCCAGAGGGGGAGTGGGATTGGGGGCTGTGTAAAAAAGGTGGAGGAATTAAGCACAAATTGGTGGCTACAGAATAGTCATAGAGATCTAAAGTTATTACAATAATACTGTAATAACTATGTATGGTGTTAGGTGGGTACTTGAAATATTGGGGAAACCTCATTGTAAAGTACGAGAAAGACAAATGCCATGTGATTTCACTTATATCTGGACTCTAAAGAGCAAAACAAACAAACAAACAAAATAGAAGCAGACTCATAGATACAGAGAACAGATTGATGATTGCCAGAGGGGGAGTGGGATTGGGGGCTGGGTAAAAAAGGTGAAGGAATTAAGCACAAATTGGTGGCTACAGAATAGTCATAGAGATCTAAAGTTATTACAATAATACTGTAATAACTATGTATGGTGTTAGGTGGGTACTTGAAATATTGGGGAAACCTCATTGTAAAGTACATGATTGTCTAAACACTAAGCTGTACACCTGAAACTAATATAAAATAATATTGAATGTAAATTGTAATTGAAAAGTAAAAAAGAATGTGTATTTGGAGACAGGGTCATTAAAGCAGTAATTAATTTAAAATAAGATAACTACTGTGGGTCCCAATCCACTGTCTTGTGTCTTTATAAGAAAACGAAACTTGGACAATGATGGGTACAGAGGGAAGACCATGTGAAGACAAAGGGAGAAGGCAGCTATCTATAAGCCAATGACAGAGGCCTCAGAAGAAACAACCTTGATCTTGGACTTTTAACTTTCAGAATTGTGAGAAAATAAAATTCTGTTGTTTAAGCTATCCAGACTGTGGTACTTTGTTATGGAAGCTTTGGCAAACTAATACACTTGTATTTTTTGTTGTGTTGTTTTTTTTCAAAACAGGGACAATGAATTACTCACATTGGTAATTCCTACAACTGGATGTACAACATAGGAGATACCCAATTAAAAACTTGGATTTTTTTTTGATAGATGCATTTATTCAACAATATTATTGACTGCTTATGTGCCAGATACTGTCATAGAGTCTCAGGATACAAAACAAAGTTTCTCATGGATCTTACAATCTACTTGAAATGGAGGAAAGATAAACAATAAATATGTAAACAAATAAGATAAAGTTTGACATGCTCTGATAAAGATTGTGACATATGATCTGAAGGATAGAAACCAATTTATATGATAGTGAATAGCTCTGGGGTTATGCAAGTTGCCTATATCAATTATAATCCAGTCAGGAAAATAGAGAGAACATTTAATACAGGTAACACATCATACAGGTAGATAAGGAGCCAAACAAGGGATGGCAAGACAAGCCAGAATTTAACACCCATGAAAAACTCCTACCACTTTGAGAACTAGATGGATAATGGGAAAAGGTAATGTTATCATAACAAAGAAACTGATGCTAAACTAAGCTAACAGCATGGTATTTGTCTTTCTCTGTCTGACTTATTTCACATAGAGCAATACCCTCCAGATCTGTCTATGCTGTCGCCACTTCCAGAATATACCATTCTAAAGCAGTAGGTAGAGTAAATATCCTGGCTTCGTCTTCCTCTTGCCCACCAATCTCCGGCAGGTATTTTCTATTGAACAGAGAAATAAGACAGTATGGGATCTTAGGAAATTTACTTTTCAGAAGAAGAGTCAAGGATGAATCTGGAAGTGAGCATTCCAGTGTTATTGTCTGTGCTAGAGATTCTTGCAGAGGAAGAGATGTTGATTCCAGAGGCAAATAGGTTATTGAATCCAGTATGTCTTGAGTGCCTATTTATCTAGAACCATGTGAGCAGTTGGAGACAATATAATGTAGCAGGTAAGAGAATAAGCTCTGAGGCCAAAGTGTTTGCACTGGCTTTGCTACTGACTTGGACAGGTTATTTAATGTTAGGCATCTAGATAATTTCCTTATCTGTGAAACAGGACTAATAATACTGTCTCCTTCATAAGATTGTTATAAATATTTGAGCCCTAGCCGGTTTGGCTCAGTGGACAGAGTGCTGGCTTGCCTAAGGGTCCCCGGCTGGATACCTCAGTTGCAGGCTCCTCCCTGGCCTAGGTCCTGGTCAGAGAGGCAACCAATCAATGTATTTCTCTCAAACTGATATTTCTCTCTGACTTTCCCTCTCTCTTATACTCTATCTAAAAATCAATGGAAAAATATCCTCGGGTGAGGATTAAAATAAATAAATAAATAAATAAATAAATAAATAAATAAATAAATAAATATTTTATAAATTAACCCCATAGAAAGAAAGCACTTAGCACAGAGCCTGGCAACCAATTCAGTATGGGATAAAAACAAATCTGGTAAAGGGGTTTCCACAATGTCCGTGTCCCACACTTCTCTCTTGAAACCATGTGATCTCTCAGAAGCCTATATTTGGTACTTAACACCAGCTCTCAGTGTACAAGTGCCAAATACTGCCCTCTTTTCAGCCATGAGCAGCACGAGGAGAGAGATAGTCTTAGGTAGGTCCCCAATTTAGCACATTCTCTTTATTTGAGTCCATAGTGATTCAAAGAGCCCAGAATCAGACTTCTGAGGGCAGAGGCCCCACTACTCCAAGTTGGTCCCTTAGCTGCTATGGCTTTGGCTTTATGCAGATCTCAATAAAGTACTGAATTCTCTACAGGTGAGTAAACTGGAGCAAGTACCTAGCTTCTCTGAGTCTCAGGTTCCAAATCACATAATGAACACACTAATTGTTGTTTACCTAACAGTGTTAAGCAATCATTTATTCATGGATATCCGAGTTGTCAAAGTTCTTAAGATTATCTCCTGCAACATTCTCATTTTACAGATGAGAAAATGTAGCCCCCCAAAATGAAAAGGACTCCCAAAGTCCTATCCTAGTGGCTGAGCTGGAATGAGAACTCAGACCCTTGATTTTTGACAGAGTGGAATGCAGTAGTGAAAAGGGAAAAAATTAAAAGTATACAACTACTATAATGCTAGTATTGAGAGCCTAAAGCTGCCATCTATATTGTAACTTGTGTTGTCATGACAAAATGACAGGCAGTACATATGTCACTACCTATTCTTAGTCATTTATTTATAAATTCAATAAACATGTGTGCCTGGGTGCAAGAAAGAATGTATTAGGCACTGATTATATAGCAATGAAAAAGACAGAAGCCATGCATTTCCTGATTTCTATTCAACAAACAAGTAAATGAGGTGACTAAATAAGCTAATACAGATGGTGATAAGTGTTATGAAAGACAGTGAAAGGACTACGAGTAACTATTGGGGAGGAAAGAAAGAATTTATAAAAACAAGGCTTCTCCAAGGAGATGACATTTAAGTTGAGGCCTCCAGGATTAAAGGAAGCCAG